CATTGTGAATTCTTTCCTTATGTTTAGGAAGAATCCTAGCATGGCAGGAACAAATGAAGTGAGTACTTCGCTGGGAAATTATGATCCCTTTTGCTGGGATCAGCGGGTCATCACATGACCATGCTGAGGAGCACGAGGTGCTCTAATCCTGTTGGTTTCTATGCCTCAGGTATTCCAGGAGATTATCCCTGAGTCCCCCTGCCAGGGAGTCTGTGACAGGGAAGCTTAGAGCAAGCAGAGCAAAGGGAAACGAGTTGCTTTTTCAAAAAAATATTTTTCAAAAAGTATTTATAACCGTAGACTGATATTTAGTATTGTTTGATTCCCCTGGTTTCCATGCTAGGCTTGTAAAATAGATTTCATAATATAAATGTTACTTGCTTGATTTATTTTGTTTTCACAGTGCCTGCCTGTTTGGGAAACCTTTGTAATTGATTTTATTTACTATGGAGAATAGTACAAAACTACTGTATGTGAGAAGAGGTCCATCTGTGAGGATTATGTTACATATATTTTATTTTCCACAGAAAAGCTGTAAGGATTGGGAAAAGTTTGAGTCAGAGACTCAGAGTGAACCAGAAAAACCCTCAAATATATAATAGAATCATAGAATGGTTAAGGATGGAAGGGACCTCAAAGATCATCAGGTTCCAACCTCCCTGCTATGAGCAGGGACACCTCCCATGAGATGAGGCTGCACTAAGCCTCATCCAGCCTGGCCTTTTACACCTCCAGGGTGGGGACTTCCACAACCTCCCTGGGCAACCTGTTCCAGCATGTTACTACTCTTTTGGTGAAGAATTTATTCCTGATGTCTAACCTAAATCTCCCCTCTTTCAGTTTAAAACCAATACCCCTTGTCCTATCCCTGCCCTCTCTGGTGAAAAGCCCCTCCCTGGCTTCCTGTAGCTCCTTCAAGTACTTGAAGGCCACTCTAATGTCTCCCCAGAGCCTTCTCTTCTCCAGGCTGAACAGCCCCAATTCTCCCAGCCTGTCTTCATAGCAGAGGTGCTGCAGTCCCTTGATCATCTTGGTGGCCCTTCTCTGGACCCTCTCCAACAGGTCTATATCTTTCTTGTGCTGGGGGCCCCAGAACTGTACACAGTATTCCAGGTGGGGTCTCCAACCAGAGCAGAGTAGAGGTGCAGAATCCCCTCCCTTGCCGTGCTGGCCACACTTCTTTTGATGCAGCCCAGGCTGCAGTTGCTCTCTGGGCTCCAGCACACACGGGTGGCTCATGTTGAACTTCTCATCAACTACCTCCCCCAAGTCCTTCTCCTCAGGACTGCTCTCCAGCCATTCTTCCCCCAGTCTGTATGTGTGCCTGGGGTTGTGCCAACCCAAGTGCAGGACCCTGCACTTGGCCTTGTTGAACTTCATGAGGCTGGTATTTTCCCACCTCTCAAGCTGTCAAGGTCCCTCTGGACCTCCCTACTTCACACAGCTTGGTATCATCAGCAAATTTGCTGAGGATACACTCAATCCCACTGTCCATGTCTCTAACAAAGATGTGGAACAGCACTGGTCCCAGTACTGACCCCTGAGGGACACCACTCATCACCTGCCTCCATTTGGACATTGAACCATTGACCACAACTCTCTAGGTGTGGCCATCCAGCCAATCTCTTATCCACCGAGTGGTGCATCTGTCAAATCCATGTCTTGTCAGTTTGGAGACCAGGATGTCATGTGGGACAGTGTCAAATACCTTGCACAAACGCAGGTAGATGACATCAGTTGCTCGGCCACCATCCACCATCTCTGTAGCCTTGTTGTAGAAGGCCACCAGATTGGTCAGGCATGACCTGCCCTTAGTGAAGCCATGTTGGCTGTCACCAACCACCTCTTTATTTTCCATGTACCTTAGCAGATTTTCCAGGAGGATCTGCTCCATGATCTTGCTGAGCACAGAGGTGAGACTGATCAGTCTGTAGTTCCCTGGGTCTTTCTTTTTCTGCTTTTTAAAAATATGGGCTATGTTGCCTTTGTTCCAATTGGAAGGAACCTCACCAGACTGCCATGACTTCTCAAATATGATGGACAGAGGCTTAGTTCTCTCCATCATATTTGATGTCATTTAGGCAGACAGTCACACACACAAATACATTCAGTATCCTATTTTTGTATTCCAATAAGATTTTATGTTCTATATAAAAAAATAAGAATTCGAGCCTTAACAGTTGTCATATGACAAGTGTCTGAAACAGCTGGATAACAGAGGAATCCCCTATGAAATAGTATGAATGAGAAACTCTGAATGAGGAATGTGACTGAGGAGCAGCACAAACCCTAAAGATGACCTGCAATTGAGCAAACTCCTGTTTTGAATGACTGTTAGTTATTCAGATAGCAGTTGAGAAATAAATCTTTCCACATATCAACAACCATAAGCATTAAACAAGTAAGAGAATAAGTTTTCCTATTCCCATGTGTGACTGTAGGCCTAATGGACTTTCCATGTCTCTCGTGTTTTAACCCAGCAGCCTCTATTTCATTGTTCATCTATCAAAGCCAACATATCTGCATGAAGTTTGTGCATAAGTTAAATTTAGTCTTTTTGACTGAGAACTCTTTCACTTGCATTCTGCATCTTGCTGCATATGTCTGAGACACTAATTTCTCACACCTGGGTCCCTGAGTTTGACTGTGGGTCAAAACTTATTAGTTTAAGGTGCACAAATGCTAGATGGACCATAAGATCAGCATGGATAAATCACATCACTATACATATCCAAGAACATGAAAAGAAGGTGTTTGGTTGTCATAACCAACTGAATTCGAAAGCATAAATGACCAGAAATCACTTCACAGTTGGCTGTCATAGAGGAAACCTTCAACAACTAACTAGCATGGGGGTCTACCTCATGACACTGAATCTTAATTCCACCCTAAAGTTTGCAACTTGATCATTTAAGTATTTGCCTTCATCTAGTAAAGTAGCACGGTAATGACAATATTTAATATCTAAATGGGGTTTGCATTGCAAGGTACAAAAGCACTTTATAGTTATTGAAAAGGAAACCCCAGACACAGTGTAGTGAGATGTCTTCCTCAAGTTTGCATGTCAGCTTGGTTGTGGTGTTAGGATCAGATTTTTAGCACTGTGCTGCAATGATAAACCAAACTGTTCATACAGACACTGCCTGGGGCTTTCTGATGTGGTTATGGGCAAATAAAGGGAACAATCCAAATAAAACACAATGACATTGAATGGAGATTCATATTACCCCATAAAAATAACTCTTGGTCTCCTCAGACCTTACTAAGCTGATCTTCAAAAGATCATTTTTTCCTTTGGAAGAAATTTCAATTCTGAACTGCTGATACTGAAGCAATTCAAGTTTTAGGTAATATTTTTGGGGTTTAAAATACTTTGAAAGCTGATGACACTGCAAAGATAGTATCTTTCAATATTTCTTGTTAATGCTTTTTAGGAATTCCATGAGGAATTTAAGGTCCTGCTGTCTATGTTGAGAGGGGAAAAAAAGGAAATCTGGGATGGGAAAATGGAGAATAATTTTTAAACTTAATTATTTAAAAAGTCAAGTACACAACTGTGAAGAAACAAAGGCTGGATAGAAAAAGTTAGTGTAGTTCAGTTCCAGAGTAAAGAAAACTGTCAAGAGAAAAACAGAAACAGAAATACATGGCTATTTCAGAGGAGTGAGTACTAAGCAGTGAAAAATGGAAGGAAAGATAATGTATTAACCAGAAAGAAAATTCATTCAGTCTGACAAACCAATAGGCTGAGGTTTGGTTATTTGCTGCTTGCCATCAGCATCCTTCTGCACTGCACAAGGCATCTGGTTTCAGATGTTTTTCTTTACTTTTTCTGAGCTCACATTTAATGTAGCAGAAGGACAAGACAT